GAGGTGCGTTGATTATCTTGCGGTCACAATCACCTAATGATTTCCATTGTCTGACAGTTCTGAAGAGACCTGCTTGCTCCTTCAGGTGGCCCCAATGAACGTCATCGAAATTGTGATCTACGTCTTCAGTTTATTGTTCCTTCTACTAACATTGCCGTTTTCTTTATTATTCTCCCTGAAGGTAATCATTTTTAGAACAGTTTTCATAATTGTCTTGAACATATAATTGAATGAATCAAAGAGTTCAATGCTCTGGTAAGTAGAACCGCCGAAGTTGGCAGCAAGGAAGGGAATTCTCGATCCAAACCATATCTGATTTTTATTGCCTCTAATATCTAGGCATTTCTGTGGTAGTGGAGGTGTCTGGTCTGGTCAAGACCGTAGCTCGCTCAGTTCTAGTTTGCCTCTAAAATTTTGGCCCTTTAGTCTTTGTTCTCTGCATATAGTCTTGTTCGCAACGAATGCTGGGGCGCGTCAGGGCGATGGTTTTCGCGCAGCGCCAGACGCACCAATTGTTGAAAGGAGGGGAAGTGACAGCCCTTGGTGGAAATTGGGCTGGCGCCGCGTCAATCTCAGCCCTTCCCCCAGCATCCGCAGCGAACAAGACTGTATTTAACGTGGACCATCAGCTGAATCCAGAAGTTGCATTAAGTGAAATTTCAAGAAATGTACAATGAAAACTTGCCAAGTATTTGAAAAAGCATAGGCATGGTCGCAGGTGCTCTGCAGATTGCTAGAGGGCAACTGTGGAAATGGGTAAAGAGGAGCATGTTGAGCAAGCCTAGGAAAACTTAATCTTCTCAGACTGGATAGTAGGAGGGGGTAAGAAGGAACAACTATGAGGTCTATTTCACCAATCTTGCAAGTGGTGTGGAGGCATGCACATCATGCAAAAGTTGACATATTTCTTCCAGTTTGTCTCAAACTCTGAAAAACTTGTGGTGCTGCGGTTAGGACGAGCGCAGAAGACTCGAGGTCCGGGTGCCACGTTGATCGTACCCTGTATTGACACCACTTTCAAGATCAGCACCACGATTACAGCCTTCAATGTACCGCCGTTACAAGTAAGTTCTATTTAATTAGCCTGACATTTGTTCCCAATATCCTTTCCTTTTTCTCTGTTGATAATGCCAATGCTTGGTGAAAACAAGTAATGTGACCATGTTTCGTGTACTTGCCTCACTGCTTTTCCAGATTTTTTAAAACTTTTTTAAAGGTGATCACGATCGATCGTGGCTTGGTTGAGTTAGGAGCAACGGTGTTTCTTCGAATTCGAGATCCGGTCTCAGCTGTTTGTTCTATACAGGTCAGTCTTTTGTCACGGTAGTATCGTTTTTTCGGCTCCAGTTGTCCAGGGGAGGGCACACCTGTAATTTAGCTATTGCGCGGCGACAGCTTTTTCTCAGGCACTCACTGAGCGCCTCAAGACGCAACGATCGACGGAGAACAGGGGAGGGGGAGTGGGAACCATACGGTCGAGCATCCTTTTTTGAACAGGAATAATCTATGCGCTGAGAAGGTCCCTATGTGGTCAGGTTATCTTCTGCACCTCTATCAATCCTGTGAGTAAAGATAGCTGATTTTACGTGGGTCTGGAAGATCTCTAAAGGTCTCCACGAGGAAGAAGGGAAGAGAGTAAATGTAGAGAATGACAGGAAAATGGAAATGTTAGTGTAAGGATAGAAGGAGATCCTTGGTATCATACAACCCCCCAATTTTTGGAATTCCGTTGATCATCTATAAAAAGTGGGAGACGGACAAGACAATCGTAAGTTGTCGCGTCGCGCGCGCGGCACAACTTGCGGTTATTCGCTGCAACTTCTCTATCTGCACCACTTTGTCGATTGGAACAGCGAAACTCATGTGAATTGCAGGGAGGCAAAATCCATCATGGGCTTCGTCGAATTTTTCCAGCCATTTAACAGTTAAATCAAAATGGCCTGACAGGAGAACAGGCCGGCGTCGCAAGCCACACCTACCAGCGCGGCATACTACGATTATTTTGTCACATACCCTTGAAAGTTCACCTTCAGGATCGGAACACTTCTACGAGGACGCTGGCAAACACGATGCTCTATCGTTATATCAGTAAGAGACGAATATGCGAAATCACTAACGGACATGACCGAAGGATCCTGGCTGCCACACTAAAAGTAATAAAAGATTTGAACTACTTTGCTGCATTTTTTTGCGTAACCTTGTCAGTTTAGGACGAACTTGGCAGTTTTACCGCAACGTACGGAGTAGAGATTACGGACGTTGAGTTCTCGGATGTGAAAGTCTTGAAGGTCTGTAAGTTGTCTATGTTGACGGAACATTTCACTGTGGTGGTTAGGACGGAATCTTGTGCATAGGTCCTACTTTCTAAGGTTGCACAGAGGGAAGGACCACTGAGGAGGCAGAATGGCAGACAGGCTCCGCCCATAAGACCGGCGTGGAATGGTCTTGTGGGAGTTTTGATACTAAAAGGAAGGAATAATGTTATTATCAGGGCAACCGACGCATGTTGTGGTCCCTGGCGAGGGGCTGGTATTCGGTCGCTGAAGGGAGGGAAGGGGGCGTATTTGCCATTCAAGAAAAATGTTTCCTATTGTGCGATTGTTGAGTTTTTCCTCTGGGATTTTCCTGTCTCAAGTGCGCTATACATATACTCCCCATCCCCACTCCCTCCCGCTCGAAGGAAAAAGTGGTACTTGAGAAAATTTATGAAGGTGGTAGGGGTGTGAAAAAAGGGCGTCCTACCAGAGGAGGGCCTTTGGTAGAGGGGTTGTGTTTTGCGAAATTTTCATTCCCCACGGCAGGACATGCCCTGGCTGGTATAAAATAATTTATGCGCTGAGCTCTTGACTTCCCATAGAAGGCCTTTTTTTACCCAGGTTCGGAATAAATGGCATAATGGGTTCAGATTTCAAGCGGGTGCTGTATGGTGCCTCACCCCACCCCCCCCACCACTTACCCGAATCGGTGTTAGTCACATGGCACGGTATTGTAATAGGTTGGGGAATACCCAGCGGGGAGGTCGGTAGAGGGAGGGCCCTCATTCCCAGTAGGCGGCGTCGCCGAAGTTCTATGCAATGCTTTTTTTTCATAGTTGAAAATAGTATTTGCCCGATGGCCTTCCACCCCCATTTCCAATGGAGTTTTGAAAAAAAAACTGGAAACGAAGTTTTGAAAAATTCCGGAAAAGAGGTAGGGGTAGAAGACTTTGCTGCCAAGATGGTGGGTAGGATGGGAAAGGGGGCGGGGTCGTACCAGAGGTGGTACTTTTGGAAGAGGTTGGATTTTCTTAAAAAAATTCCCCAGCGACGGTAATTGCCCTTATTGTTCATGTCGCAGACATTTTTGACGTTTCAGCCCCTATAAAAGCTTACTGATTTTCAGGAAGGTGAGAACATGGGTCTAGCCGCCTTGAGTGCAGTCGTGAAGTCTGATGCGGGAGTGAAGCTGTGGGAGGTACATTTGAGAAATCCCGTCTAGATAAACTTGTTTAAAAAGAATATTTTCATTTGAGGTAATTGCTCCCCATGTGGAAGAATTCGCACGTGAAGTCAAAGAGCAAGCAGCAGCTATGCAGTCCAAAGATCCAATGGATCCTGCAGGACCATCGCCTGTTTCAGATATTACCACGGAGACGTTAGTAGACATCGGGTCAGCAAGTCGCAGCGCTGAAAATCTGTCGATTGACGAAGATCGCCTGATTACCATCATAAATATGGCTATTGACGAGTCTTTGATGAAAGCGGTTGGATGTGTATACCAGATAAAATGCCCTGAAATATCATCGATAGTGATCGATCTGAAACATCCACCCGGACTATGCTCCCGAGGTACTCCTGCCGTGAATCCTGACGTCATCTTTGAGATGAGCCATGACGTCTTCGTGATGATCATCAAACAAGAGTTATCACCGATTACAGCCTATATGCAAGGTGCAATGAAGGTCTACGGTCCACTTCAAGACGCCTTGTCATTGAAGTATTTAGCCGAACGAGTAAAACATCTCTTGTAGGGTCCGACTTCTGTCTTCATGAAATCTCGGCATTATTTTAAACTTTGCAGTTTTCGATTTATCGTGACAAAGTGGTTGTTGGATGGAACTGTTCATTGAATTTGGCCAGACATTTTGACTAGATCATCGCCCTCAGAGGCCTGGAAATGGTTCAAGGTTTGAGTCCTGTCGTCAAACCCCTCGACTCTCTTGTGTTCAAAAGGCATAAGGTAGGATTATTCAGCACTCGCTCAGAACTAGTGGCAGCGGTGCTATATCATGAGGAAAAAGACGAAAAAAACGAAGTAAAACGGCCAAGTAACCTGCGAAAAACTATTGTTCTGCACAGCATTGGACGAGTTTCCCGTTGGCATCGTGCCAAGAACCGCTGATAGATACGGTTGCACGTAGTATTTATTCATTATCCATGTAGTAACGCTTCATATCAGTTGTACTCAGGGCGCCAGCGTCGATGG